CCAACTTACTATAACTATAATCGGAAATTTTCAATTTTCAATAGGAAAAAATACATTGACGAGAATATTGATTGAAGAGGCCGTATAAGAAAAACAATATTTGCCATTTTATACCCAAAAGTATACCTGCAATCAAAATCAAGTTTATTTTTCAAATTTCAAACACATTTAATCTATCATATCCATTAAAATCATCACTTATTTTTTGAATTTATTTATTTTATACCTAGATTGAATGTAAATTCCGCATTTAATCAACTAAACTTGGAATAAATCTTCCTTATTTTACTGAGGTGATGTTTGTTTTTTGTCTGCAGATCTGCGTGGCCTCTTCTGTCTGCACCGCGTAGACATTAACCTTCGCAGACTGTTTGTTTTTTTGAAGACTGCAGACCAAAAAATGTCTGCGCGCCCTCTTCTTGGCGCAAATGTGGACCAGAGTCTTCTAACATCTTCAGACATCTTTTAGCCTAAAAAAACACATATATCTTTATTTATTTTTAAGTTTTTTTTTTAATTTATATTTTTTCCAGCTTTATTAATGATAAACAATTTGAAAAAAAAATTACAAAACTTAAAAAATAAAACGTTCGACGATACAAACATGATATTTTTGACAAAATTATAAATAAAGATTTATTACAATAATAATCGTTGAAGTTGTTTATATAAATATGAACAAAAAATCATAATATATTCTTATATTTTTTTTGGCCAAATTTTGTAAAACATTATTTAATACAGTATCGTCAATTTCTCGAGAAAATATTTATGGTACGTTTTTAATGGATTTAATTGAAAAAATCGAAGTTTATTTCCATCCATTTATGTATCAAATTCTTTGATCCCTAATTATAATGTTTAGTTATAATTTTGCAACCAAAGTTGTTGGTTTTTATCAAATATATACGTTAATTCATACCATTTTTATTTTTAGTTTTTATACAATAATACATAAAAGTTGATCTAGATTTGTTAATTATTTATAACAAAGTCATAAAAATATTAAAAAATCACTTTGAAGTTTGAAAAAATCAGTTTATTTAGATTTAAGTTTATTTTAGTAACCCGCAGATGTTAAAAAAACAAACAGTCTTCTTTTTTCAGACTGTAGACGTTTGGTCCACCTCTTCTACTGCAGAGGTCTACAGATGTGGTCCGTAGACTACAGACATTTTGCCTTAGAAAAAACAAACAACACCTGAGTAAATTCTCATCCTTTTTATTACAGTTATAAAAGTCGAACTCCAAAAAAAACTTTACTATGTTTGTAATGTCAAATACCTTTGTCGTCTTTGTCTTTTGAGTAGATCAAAGTTGGACCTGTGGAAAATACATTCTTCATTCACAAGGAGTTCAATCCATCAGGTTAGTGTATAATCAACTTTTAAATTCTTTCTTTTTGTTTTCGTTTTTTTAATTCTTTTATAATCATAAAACAAGTGGTTTCATAAATGTAACAACGTAAATTTCCAAAATAATTTTTCATTTTTCAAACATAATAAAACTCATATAATATTCTCAAAATCTCATATATCAATGTCATCACCATAAACATATCCCAGAATCTCAACACTTAATCTTCTGCCAGTGTGTACTGATCATGTCGGCGCCTTCCCGCGATCCTCGCTGGTACCTGAAACACATAACACACAACACGGTAATCATAAATGCTTAGTGAGTTCCCCACAATACGACCTACAACTCATACGCCACTCGAGGCTATAGTACGACCCTCCGGTCGATGTGTCTCAGCGGGACCCTCCAGTCCCGTAGCTCGTTGGACCCTCTGGTCCGGTCATATCTCGTTGGACCCTTTGGTCCGGTCTGTATCATTGGACCCTTCGGTCCGGTCTGTATCGTTGGACCCTCCGGTCCGGTCTATATCGTTGGACCCTCCGGTCCGGTCTATACAACACATAGCACGCATATATCACATAGCACATAATCTCATACATACACATAGCACACAAGACCCTCCGGTCTACACATAGATACCATTCTAGGTAATGTATAGTGAGAAGACTCACCTCGGGTAACTCGGTAAATCTCGAACTCGGAAAAAATCTGGTCTAGCCCCCGCCTAATCACATGGAATAAGCACTCTAATCAATACAACCCTCAAGGCTAGACTAATCCCTCTCTTAGCACTCTCAGAAGGGTAAAAGACCATTTTATCCCTCTCATGGCTCAAAGACCCTAACATTGACCAAACCCTAAAAGTCAACAAAAGTCAATGGTCAAACTTTGACCAGACTCGTCGAGTGCACTCGTGTGACTCGGCGAGTACATGTGTGTCCTCTTCGCCCCTGGTCCTCACTCGACTCGCTGAGTCAACCCTACACTCAACGGGTTATCACAGGTCGCGAATCGCGGGGCAACCCGACTCGACTCGTCGAGTCCCTTATGGGCTCGGCGAGTCCCTCCCATGAAAACACTCAAACGATCTTTTGAGGTCAGATCTGCTTCACCAACCAGTAGATCCAACCTTCTAACACTCGAAAGTCACGTAAAGGTTTAAACTTTACGTTCATGCAATGCATATAAGACCAAAAATGGAGAAATAACCTTTAAAATGGGGTTCTACTCTCAAGGCTCACATGAAACCTCATAAAGCTGGAAGCTTGGGACCTTTTGGACCTCTCAAGGTCCAGATCTATCATCTATACCCAAAGGGACCTCATATGCTTCACAATCTAACTCAAAATTGTGCAAAGGAAACCCTAGTTTCAAGGAATCTATCAAATACACGAAATGGGAAGGAACTTGTACCTCAAAACGTGAATCTCGGTGTGAACAACGCAGATCCAACCTCCCCAACCGATCTAGCTTGGATTTTCCCACTCCTTCTTGCAAGATCACACCAAAGGATGAAGAATTAGCCTCCAAAATGCTCTCTAAGCTCTCTTTTCTCTCTAGGGTTTTCACAGGGGAGTAGTGGCCGCAAATGACGGCCATAAGGGCCTTTAAATAGGGCTCAAGCCCTGAGATTTAGGGTTTCACTTTACAGCGCGGACTCGCCGAGTCCACGCATCGACTCGTCGAGTCCCTCATTAATCCAGACAAGAATTCGCGATCCTACTCGGCGAGTCTGAGCGCCTACTCGCCGAGTCCCTCCCTAAAACTCAAGATAATTACTTAAAATAAGATACCTGGGAATCCGGATGTTACAATAAATTTGAGATACATCCCCATTTTTTTTTTTTTTATAAATGTTATTTTCTTATGAGTTATGCAAATGTTCATAAATTAAACGAATGAACCATTTGTTCATGCGTTTAATTAACTAAATTGCTATAATTTGTGTTTTTGCGTGATAAAATACCATAAAATACACTACTAGAAAAAATACTTTCCTTGACAGACGAATTACGATGTACAATAGTTTTATGACAGACATAAAAATGTATGTCATTAAAGTCTGTCATATTTCATAAAATATAAATGATCTATGACGGACAAAACTGTTTGTCATACATTTATGTCGTATGTTAATTTGTTAAATTTTAAATAAAAAAGAAACAAGGAGCATTTTAATGTATGAATTGATTTGTTTTTTTATGAGTTATAGGATATGGAAAAAAACATTTTATATATATATATATATATATATATATATATATATATATATATATATATATAGGGTTAGGTTATTGTGTTGTAACTATCTATTGTGTGCATGTAGGGTTGATTCTGGACTAATCATTTTAGTTATTTTAAGAAAGCAATTAATGCATATTATATGTTGAAGATATAATGAGTATTAATTAAATCTTCAGTATTTAATATGCATTAATTACTATCTTAAAATAAGTAAAATGATTGGTCCAGAATCAATTATACATACACATAATAGATAGTAGAAACATTTGAACCTAACTCTATATATATATATATATATATATATATATATATATATATATATATATATATATATATATATATATAATAGTATATTACTTTAATTCCTAACATACTTAAGAACATTTTACTTCTTTTGTTTCATATATATATATATATATATATATATATATATATATATATATAATAGTATATTACTTTAATTCCTAACATACTTAAGAACAGTTTACTTCTTTTGTTTCATATTTTGACACATTACTTTGCTTCCTTCCATAATTTGTCCATGTTTTTTGGTTTTTGATATTTTGATCACCTTATTTTGCTCGGTTGCTATAATTTGTCCGTGTTTTATTGTGTTTATATTTTGACCAAATTACTTTGCTCCCTTGCCATAATTTGTCCATGTTTTTTAGTTGTAGATATTTTGATCACCTTATTTTATTCCGTTGCTATAATTTGTCCCTGTTTTATATTGTTTACATTATTTTCACTTTTGGTTCAACAGGCACCAATGTTTTAAAACCCGGGTCGACCCGGCCGGTTCAACCGGTTGGACCGTGACCTGGGGTAGAAGGCGGGTCAATTGAGAACAGTTTTTTGTAAAAATACGGACCGGATCGAACCGACCGGTTTTCCCCTAAACCGCGATCGAATCGTTTGTGTTGAATCGGTTAAAACCGAATTGACCCGTTTTAATAGGGTTTGGATACAAATACGGACCAGATTGACCCGTTTTAAATTGATCAATGACATGGTTTGATATGTTTTTCAATGTTTAAACTTTGTGGACATCAAATTATTGGTTTTATATGTCTATGTATTATGCAGGAAAGTAAAAATATATGAAATTAGAAAAACACCATAAACCGGGTTGACCCGTGAACCGGTCATCACACTGGGATAACTAAAAACCTGGGTTTTAAAACATTGACCGGCACAGATGTGTCACTTCCCTATTTTTCCTTTGTTTGCCACGTTACTCGTTTCTCTCTGATCGATACTCATTTTGTATAACCGGATTAAGTGAGGGTGTATTTTGCTCATTTTATAAATGCAAAATGATTTTAGGGATTTTATAAAAGGAAATCTCATGGAGGGACTGTATTTGTTTAAAAGACTAAACTAAGGAAAATTTAGGGCTTTTAATTGCCCTTGTCTTCAACGATCGGGAAAGAAAAGGGGCATACAAACGGACGAGCTTATGAACGATCATAGTGAGGGGGAAAACACGAAGGAAACACGAAAAATGGGAGGGGTTCGATGGTTCTTCAACAATCGGTAGGGTGGGCGTCGTTAGAGGCCGTCGTAGGTGTCTGGCTCGACCGGGGAAGAGAGGAGAGGGAAGGATTGCAGCGGCTAATCCGGAAGCCCTAACCGATCGCGAAGAGGGAGAAGGGACGAAGGCAGCGAGGCCTTCTCTTTCTCGTCTAGCGATTTCAGACCCATCGCACTCGAGTGGCGAGCTCCGGTGGTCGACTAGACCGAAGAAGGACGTGGGCAGAAGCAGTGACACTGCTTTGGGGTTGGCGAACGGGAGTGAGAAGCGAGGGCAAAGGAGGTATTGGTCCTTGGGTCGGTCGCAAAGATGAAGAGGCGTTTGGTCGACGAGAAGGAGGACACTTGGCCTGATGGAGCAAGGCAAGTGGAAACAGAAGCACCGATGGGGGTTTTGGCAGTGGTGCTCGATAGAAGAAGAAGAACGAAGCTGCGGTGGTTCACGAAGAGACAGGTAATTGTATGGGGCTGCTTCTACAGCTCCTTCGTTCTTTCTTTTCTCTTATTTTTTGTTAATTTTGATGGAAATCGATGGGGTTTTTGGATTGACTTTATTGTTTAACAGTAGTGGATATAACCTAAGTGGGTGTTTGGGTTCCTTGAAATCGACAGTAAGAAGATGAAGAATACATGTGTATGCGTTTGATATTTGGTTTTAGTTTGACAGGGAAGGAAACAAAAACGTGATGTTGTTGTTTCTGTTTGCAGGTATACCCTAGAACAAGAACAAAGTGTTCTTGTGTTCTTGGCTGAAATCAGTGAGAAAGAAAGAATTTTGGATGTTTAGGTTTATTGTTTGTGTTTTGGTATTTGACAGGGAAGATGAAGAACGAAATGATGGATGCAAGCTGTTTTGTTCGATTCTTACAGTTTTAGTATTTCTTTTTGGTGTGGGTTAGTATAAACTGAAATTAGAAGCAACATGTGGGTAAAGTGATTTATTACACTTCAAATAAATGAAAGTGATTTTTTTTCTTACAGTTTTAGTATTTCTTGCTTATGTACTTTCTCTCCACTTTCTTTTTATCTTCTTCAGGGACTGAATATTCTGCTTAATCTTTCAGTTGACCTGGCTTAATGTTCATCTTACAAAGACTGGCCCTCTATGTTGATGAGGCCAGTTTTAAATTTTAAACCCCTCTATTCACCATCATTATGGTAATATGCTTATCATGTGTTTTTGGATTGTCTCGTAGGCAGCATCTGAGCTTATAAAGGCTAATTTGGAGCCAACTCTTGAACAATACAGACCAATGGTGTTGTCCTCTTTGTCATTTTCCAAGTTTACCCTCGGCACGGTGGCCCCTCAGTTTATAGGTTAGGCTAATTGATAGTATTACCATTTGCATTTATCCTTTCATAGTAAGAAGATTCCACATAACTTGAATCTTAATTATCAATTGTTTATATTGTTTAGGAGTTTCTACTGTTGAAGATGGAGGTGAAGGAATAACTATGGAGTTGGAAATGAATTGGGATGGAAACCCTAGTATAATACTTGATATCAAGACTAGACTAGGAGTTGGATTGCCTGTGCAGGTAATTCAATTTGCCTAGCTATCAAGGGTTATTATTGGAATTTGGAAAATAATTGGCTTCAACTTTGTTTACTATTAACAAACCATATTCTTTAATCTTAATCTCTTTTGTTGTTCAGGTGAAGAATATTGCATTCATTAGGGTTTCTAGGTTGATTTTTAAGCAAATAATAAGATGATCATGATCATAAATTTTCTGATTATTGATGGTTAAAATAACCAAATTTGGAACAACATGCGAAATGAACTCTGAAACTGGTGAACTGTTAAAAGAAATGAAAATCTCAAAGAAACTTATCTCTTCATCTGTATATTTTTCTGGTGAGTCTTCCCAACACATGGTCCTTAAATTGTCTTGACCTTTTTCTTCTAACGTTTGTTTTCTTGTAATGATAGATGATAAAATATTAGCTGCATCAAATACCAAGATCAAGTTCTCATCTTAGATGATGGAGAATAACTATTTAAGTTTTCCACAGATGTTGTATGTTCCTACCTTTTATATGTACATTTTTAAAGTGATTATTGCAGTTCTGATGATTTTTTTTTTGACTTTTATCAGGGTCCTGTGAAGCATATGCATATGTTGGATGATACAAATACCATAATTACCTATGTATTTGGTGACAACAATCTGCACATGTGGAAAAATGGATCAAGTCAACAACCATTAGCTGCAAGAAGTTATGATTGACATATCAAATGCTGCAAAAGATTTGATTGATCAAGAAGTTTCGGCTTTTTATCGAAATCCCGATAATACCCTTTACATATAAAATGTGTGTGTGTGTGTGTTTGTGTGTTTTAGAGTGATATGAAATTACTAAAATACCCTTGGTTAATTTTAGGGTTGGAAGGTTTGGATGCCGGCTTAGCATCGGTGTTGGAATCGATGGAATTCTGTTTGAAGTTGCGGGGTTCGGAAGCTTGTGTTTTGGAGGACTTAGCAAAAGCTATCAATCTGGTGCATATCAGGAAGGATCTTGTGGAAAGTGGTCACGCGTTGCTAAACCATGCTTATCACAATCAACAAGAATACGAAATGAATGAGGGTGGAACTGGAATCCGTGATTCCGACAGAATTGGAATATGTGATTCCATTCCGATGCCAAATAAATGGAGTTCAATTCTATCCGAAGGTGGAACCAGACTCAGTGATTCCGACAGAATTGGAATCAGTGAGTCCGACGGAAGCAAAACCTTACAAAAACTTCAAATGAAAACTAAAATTGCAAGAGAACCTTTTGACATTATGGTTAGTGTAATGGAATGTATTTTTGTATATGTATGATATCTTATTTTGCATTATTGGACATTAAATGTGTAATTTATTTTGTTTAATATTTGGTACAAATTTAGAATATATATATATATATATATATATATATATATATATATATATATATATATAACCATGAATGTTACGAATTCCGACATACAAAGCCAATCGTAAATGTATGTCGAAAACGTGTGTCGTGTATGTATGTCATAATTGTGGGTCATAAAGGTCTGTCGTAAAATTTATGACAGACCAAATGCCTGTCATTATCCTTTATGACATGACTTTCAATGACAGACATTTTTCTGTCATGGATAGGCATTTACGACAGAGGAAAGCCTTTTTTCTAGTAGCGTATTTAGGGTTATTTCCATAAAAGACCCTATATTTTGACTTTTTTTCTTTTTAGACCTAAAACTTTTTTGTTTTCCGAAAAAAACTCAACTTTTACATGTTACTTGTTATTTTAGACCCTAACAGGTCACCTAAAGGGAAATTAAGTATTTGTATTTCATAAAAGACCCTATATTTTGTATTTTTTTTCCAGTTTAGACCTAAAATGTTTTTTATTTCAAGACTATTTGTATAAAAACATGATTATATTCTTTTAGTTTAAACATAAACATCGATTTAAACAATGTAATTATTATGCTTACATTTATTTATGATTGGACAATTCTTTGTCCACGTATATTTAAAAAAAAAGTAGTTGTAAAAACTATTTCTTCACTACACCAAGTTCATGTAGCTTAATTTCGTGAGGGCATAAAAACATAATTATATTCTTTTAGTTTAAATAATAGACAACAATTTAACTTTTGCATCTTTTGGCATCATATTTATTTACGCATGAAACATTTTTTTTAAACCATTACACATACAACGATTTAACTTTTGCATCAATTTATGCTCAAATGGTTTCATTCCCATAATATAGTTTTATGTATTTATATGTGATGTTAACATTTTTTAAGAATGTCTTAAACTTGAATCTGATATATCTAAACAAAACTATTACGAATGTTTAGGATTAATATTTTTATGTATGTATTTGATATAATTATAAAATATTATTCAATAATGGCAAGGCCGGTCCTGAAGATGTATATATCCTCAAATACGCAGGACGAGTCAGAGAAAAATGACCCCTATCACTATTATAAGTTTTTATTTTTAAATAAATGTATATATATAATATATAATAAAAAAAATTGGGTCATGTGCAGCTGCCTACTTTGCCCCCCTCAACGCCCCCCCCCCCCCCCATGAATAATGGGCTAATGCTACAAAATATTCTATGGCTTTGCTTTAGGAGTATGATAGTGAGTGCATTTGTTAACTGTTCTAAAAAAATTGATTAAAAAATTCGACCAAAAAAATAATATAGAAAAGGGAGAGAGAGAAATATGTCAAAACTCACCAAATAAGTATAATAGACAAACTAAAAAAATTTATTTTGTATACAGTTTATTAAATTACGTGGTATGTATTTTTTTCTACAAATAAAAAAAGTTGTTATTATGCTAAAAGATTCTTCCTAGTCATGTATTATCCATGTTACCAAAAATATCAAATTAACATCAAACTTTTTATTAGCGGTAATAATAACAATTTTTATAAACAATATATCAGGTTTAATGATATAATATATATATCCAAGATAAAGTATAATTATATCTTTTACACAAAAATAAAATTTTGCAATTCTTCTAGGTTATATTCGCTCAAAAGATAATAGATTAGATAACATTTTTTAGTTTATACATGTATACTTTCTTTTTTGGTGTAGTCAAGAAGTACCTTATATATTTGGTTTTGAAGATTATAACAATTTTAAAGTTGAGTTTATTTTGGAAAAAAATACATTTTAGGTCTAAAATGAAAAAAATTATAAAATATAGGGTCTTTTATGAAAAAAATACCTAATTTACCTGTTGGTTACCTGCTATGTCTGAAATAACAAATAACAGGTAAAAATTGGGTCTTTTTCGGAAAATAAAAAAGTTCTAGGTCTAAAAAGAAAAAAAGTCAAAATATAAGGTCTTTTATAAAAATAACCGTGTATTTATGTTGTACTTCTATTGTTTATCATGCATCCAAGTATTCACTTAATCGTCCAATGATCAAATCGTATACCATCAATTAATTCTGTTGTTAGCCATCAACTTAAATGTAATAGTGGCTGTAAAATCCAAAACAAATCTAACAACAAAACATACAAATTTAAAACGTGAATTGTCTAAGAGCATTAGCAAACAAAAACATAAAATCCAAAACAAATCAAAACATTAAAAATCGCCACCAATTACGAACTCTTTGCCACCAATTACGAACTCTTTGCGACACCGGCTTTTTAGGGTAAAGCGTACCTAACTTGGGATTGAAAAGATAGGTAGGTTTATAGGTAGTCAAGAGAATATCCCACCAAATAGGAAACTGGAAAACACCGAATATCATCACAGGTGAGCAGGCACCAAGACCAAGACTGATAGGAACCCACGTCAAACCTTTGCGATAAAGAACTATGCAACAGGCAGCATAGGCAGCCATCAGACACAGGAATGAAAAGAAAAGTCCTATGAGACCAGCTATAAACTTTATAGGAAGTAGATGCACGTAGTCTTTCAGACGAGAGCGGGATGTGATTATCGAAAGAAACACCAGAAAAGAGCATGATGAACTTAGTAAAGAAAAGCCATTCGTTATAAGGAATACTAAAAAGAAAGGCTCCGCCATAAAGATCGGGAAGCCATTATCCTGCCGATAACCACCCGGGGGGGGTTAATACTGCTGCAAATGAGATCGTGACAATAAGGGCCGTTGCGACCATTCCATGTTTTATCCAACTGAGAGCTTTTGATGATAAATCTTTGGTGTTTTCCAGGAACAACTCCTGAGCTGTTTTACCGTCAGTGTTCCTAGCACCCCTTAGACGGGGTGACAACATCCTCTCTACTTCCTGCATGCGTTATATATAACAAAACTCATATATCATTAATATATTTATATTATGCACGGATATAATCGTATAAAAAGTCTTATTACGAAATCAAACATACCTGGATCCAAAGATATTCTTTTTGGAGCAACAAAAATGATCGGGTGGTGCTTTCCAGTTCGGCCCTTTTTGATGTCATTCCGACCAGGTGGAGTAGAGTATTACCATGGTTGTCCACCTCATTTGATCCAAACCTTTTGGACTCCACTTCATAAAACAGAACATTGTACAGGTCCAGTTGTCGATGCATTACTGCCACGTGGAAGATGGTGTGTCCATCTTCATTTCTCTTTGTCAGTACCTCTGGGTATGTCCGGATAATGTGCAATAAAAACTCAGTATTCCCAATCCTAGCCGCTTCAAAAATGCAGTTGTATGCGGGTAGATTATTAGGTCCCAGAAGTAATGAATCAACATCCCTCCTATCAAATGAATCAGTAGCCCCTACAACGCTTGTCAGTATGCTAGAGGCTTTTTTAGCCTCTTCTTCTGATTCATTTGGCCCCATGATATTTGATACTCCTAAAACTATAATAATAATAAAAAAAATTAATTGGATTTAGAAACCAACCCCAGTACTTTGAATTACGTTGGTCATTATTAGACTTATATGTTAATAACTTTATATTTTGTATTTTTTTTGGAATTAAAACTCATCTTTAATTTATTTTTATATAAATATCTTATTTTTTCATTTTATTTTAATAAAAAAACCCTCAACTTTGTTTTTTTTTGAAAAAAAAACCCTCAACCTTCTAATATTTGCGAATAAATCCTTAATTTTTTTTAGTTTTGCCTGAAATATAAAAAAAAAAAACCTCACATTTTACAACTTCTTTTTGGAGAAAAATGACTAAAATGGCTATATAATAAAAAATGGAAAAATGCAAGGATTTTTTTCATGAAAATAAATAAAGTTGAGGTTTAATCCGAAAAAAAAACACAAAATATGAGGTCTTTTATGAAATTAACCCTAGAGTTATTAGAAGTATTAGACAATTTTTATAATAAAGGAAAATCTACTATAAAGTCCTTACATTTTGACCTTATTTTTGACCTCATATTCAATTAAGTCCTTATATATTTTTTTCCGATTAAGTACCGAATACCGATAATTGTATTCACTTTAACCATTTTTCCCGGTTTAAAGGTCATCCCATTTTCAAAATTTATACTTTTGGCGGAGACCTTAAACTTTATTACAAATTTGATCTAAAATTTACACTTTTGGCCCAAATTTCAAAATTTTGTTACAAATTCATCCTAAATTTAGTTTTTTTACATATTTTTTTTCAGAATTTTGTTTCAAATATGTTATTTTTGCTTTATAAAATCAAATTTATACAAAAAAAAACATATTTTCACATAAAAACCTTTTTTTTCTATATTAAAACCTTTTAAAAAAACACTTTCGTTAAAAAAAGTTTTTATATGTGAAAAATATATTTTTTTTATAGATTTGGTCCAAAAGGTTTTTTGCATAGAAGGTTTGTAAAAATATGTTTTCTATACTAAAAAACATATTTTCACATAAAAACCTTTTTTTTTAAAAAAAAACATTTTTTCAAATTAAAAAACCTATGTTCGCATAAAAAACCAAGATATTTACAAAAATAACTTTTGACATGTTGTTCGTTTTCGAATTATATAGATTCACAAGCAAAAATATATTTTAAAAAACCAAGATATTTACTCGATTAAAAATAGTTTTTTTTTCAAAAATATTTATTAATTTTTTTTTTGTCATACAACTATTTATACTCTTTAAAAAAGTTATTTAAATAACAATGTTTAGTAATATATCTTTTATTTAGTTATTAATTTACACATATTAATTAATAAAATACATAACGACCATCCATTTGTTAATAATAATATGTTTTATATTTTTTACTTTTTAAGCAAAATCTAGTAAACATAACCAATTTCAAAGTTTTCTCTTATTATTCAACCAAAATTTTCTATTTTGTTTTTTAATATTGTAATATAAACCAGCAAATAAAAGTAAAAAATTATAAAACAAAAACTAATAATATTAATGACAATAAATATAATGATGGTAATAAAATAGTATGCGATCATTGTTTCTTGCTTATCTTTTTTGTAATATTTTAACATATTTTTCAAATATAAAAACCTTATTTAGGAAAAATGTTTTTAAAAAAGGTTTTATATAGAAAAAAAAGGCTTTTTATGTGAAAATATGTTTTTTTTGTATAAATATGATTTTATAAAGCAAAAATAACAAGATCAAAACAAAAGTTTGAATATATATATATATATATATATATATATATATATATATATATATATATATAGGATGAATTTATAACAAAATTTTAAAATTTGAGCCAAAAGTGTAAATTTTAGACCAAATTTTTAATAAAATTTAAAATTTAGGCCAAAAGTATAAATTTTGAAAGTGAATGATAACTGAAAAAAATAATTAAAATGAATACAATTACCAGTATTAATGACTTAATCAGAAAAAAATACATACTTAATTGAATATGAGGTCAAAATATAATGATCTTATAGTAGATTTTCTTATAAAAAATAAATAGTTATGTCAATCAAATGAGGGAAAATTTCGTCCTTGTGAACTCTTCAATGTCCTTATAAACTTTTTTAATATTACGTGTATATCGTAAAAGTATATAATTTTGAATATTAGATAAAAAAATTTAATAAAAAATTAATTTAATTCTAAATAAAATATGATTTTGGATAAAAGTGTAATTTTTAAAGTTTTAGATGGATATACCTGCAATATTAAAGTTTATAAGGATATTGAAGTTTAGTATTTACAATGACATGAATGAAGTTTTCCCTAAATTAAATGACAGTTATGGTATCTATTAAATGAGAAATTAAATATCCTCCTATTTATTCTTTCTATCCATCTTGCTATCACTTTTAGATCATTGTAATAAAAAAATTTAATTTGACAAGTGCCACAATCTTAAGTGTGTAGGAAGATGGTAGGTCTACAAAATAAAAAATGAATAGGAATATACTTACTCCAACTTATGCAAATCAAAATCATATTCTTTTCCTTCTGGTTGAGGGCGTCAGTCTTTCCGGCCAAAACACGGATGATATCTCCACAAACAACAGGATGTAACCAATCAATGTTTGCATCCATAATGGTTCTAGCCATGCCTACAAATAGAGTTTAATAATCAAAATCAACAAAAATTACATTACAAAGCAAAATGATATCCAAATTAAATTTAATGTCAGACTTACCAAACATATCATTTTCTACGCAGCTTACGAGAATGTTATTTCGAATGTTTGATGTCCACACTGCACCTGATCTCATACCGAGAGATGCTAGATAGAGAAATCGCGTCATTTCCCGATTTCCACACTCAGCGCTTCGTGTTATTGGATACATGCCAGGAACTTTAGGAATAGTCAGCAATGCTTGGCATCTTTCTAACATTGATCTTGCGATTTCTTTGCTTCCATGTGACGCAGCTATGTACAAAGCTGTCTCTCCATTTCTGTTTACTAATCTGAAGTCTTCGTCTCTCATCAGGCGTACTAAGTTGTTTACAAAGACCTCAGTGTCTTTGTTAACAACTGAAGAAGCTGAAACCATTAAAGGAGTCTCAAGACTAGCTGTAATAGCTAGTCTCACTGCGTCTGGGTTATGTGCAAAGATGCGCCCAGCACTGCTCCAGTCACAGAGGACACACGCCCTGTATAAGGGAACCGCGATTGCCTGATATTCGCCTCTATTACCTTCGAGTAGGGTAGGTGCGGGATGATTCATTGTTTATGAGATGCCTGTATACAAAATCAAATGTCATAAACACAACACAGAAACAATAATTCAAAAACAAGTTTCTAGTTTCCTTTAGTTCAATGTCAACTAGTTTGCAGGTTAATGAGTTTTGATACATTTGACCCACAAACAGAAATCCAATCAACTTCTAAACCACATGCATAGCATAGGAGTATTATTGTAAAGTGCTATAAGAAACAAGACATAAAATAAAGTTGAAAAAAAGATCAAAGGCGATGTATACTGCATAATATAACTAATAACTGTCTACATACACAAACAAGCCCTTTCAAGATATATGTACATATTTGTTATTCTTATTACTTAGGACAATGTACTTTGAATCTATCAATTATAGGAGTGAAAATTGATTTATATTTAAATGGCATTGCTATAACCACAGATTTTTAATATACAATTTTGTAAAAAGAAGAAATGAAAGTATGTGCTGTAATAAAAAAATGGAAGTGGATGTTTCTTTATATAACCCTTTTCTTAGGGAGATGATATTTCCACTTATCAATTAGATGTCCACTTAAAATAAATTTGTTTTTACATTTTTACCCTTATTTTGAAATTTACAAAATATGATGAGATATAATTAATCCGCCTCTTATCCTTAGCAAATTTAAGCGTTTCCTTTATTTAACACTTACCAAAATTAATTTGTTTCTAACTTTTTTATCTTTATTTGTCCTTACAAAAATTAGTTTGTTTTCTTATTTATTTATCAAACAAACCCGCTAAGTGGTATCTTTAATTCGATCAATCCATTTAAACTTTTTAATTTGAATGTAAAATCTAATAAAATTTAATTTATCACAATAAAATGTTCAAACTAATAGATATTAAATCAAAATAAGATGTTCAACGAAAATATTCAAATCATAATAACGTTAAAAAAGTTTGACGATAAAAAAACATTCACATTACACCAATTACATATTGCCACTTATAATTTAAATCAAATAAGTTGCTACATTTTATTATTCATTTGGAAGACACAAGTAAATGAAAGATTGTGTGTTTGTGATGATTTTACAACCTCAAATCTTCAAGGTATGGTGTGCTAGTTTTTTTTTTTTTTTTTATATTGTAGGTATAACTTTTGATTGGTGAATCATTGGCTCAAAAAATATATTAAATTCAGTCAAAAGTTTAGTAATCATTCATTTATTCGTGTCTTCCAAATGAACTATGAAGTGTCTAAGAGCAACTTATTTGATTTAAACGCATATTTAATTTTTTTTAAGTGATAATGTGTAAATGGAGTACAATGAATGTTTTTTATACATGATTTTTTTTTAATTATTGTGATTTGAATTTTTTTTTAGATAATATTTTAGTGGCTAATATTTTCTTGTGATTTGACATATATTAATTTAAACATTTTATTGTGATATACATTTATATGGAACAAATTATTTTTTTGTTATATATTATTGTAATATGTATAGATAAATAAGAAAACAAATTAACATTTGTTAGATTTTATAATTAGATGATAAATAAGAAAAAAAAAATAGACTTGCGCCTGTTTAAGAAAACAAATAAATGGGTTGGTTTGATTAATAAATAAAGAAACAAAATAATTTTTCTAAGTGGTAAATAATGGAGAAAAAGGAAACTTTTAAATGTGTTCATAGAAACTGCAAATATAGCCCATTTATATCTCTTAATGTTTTTGTAAGATTTAAGTAAGGATAAAGTTGTCAAATCATATTTATTTTAAGTGGAAGAATCAAATAAGCATGGAAATATCACTTCTCTTTTTTTTAATTTATTTTCTTATTTGAAGGAGGTGGCCCCACACCAGGATACATATGACAGTTCAAATTTGTAGCTACGGCATAGTGAAGGAATAGAATAAAGTATTACAATCAAATTAAGAATTCATGTTTGTGTTTGTCACACATAGGAATGGAATAGAACATTTCTAATAGAATGTGATTCCTTTTCCCAGGCTATATTCATTCCACATGGGAGCGTTTCTTTTTTTTTTATCCCTTAATCATATACAATTAATAATAAACTATAAAGAAAGAATTGGGTATATGTCCTTATTAACAATCAAAATATCGTATTTACTCAACTTAAAATTTAAATATTATATTTACCCTTATTAATTTCTAAAATATCATATTTATCCAAATTCTTTTTTTAAATATTTTTTAAAAACTTTTAATTAGTTTTTATATTTTATAATCATTTTAATTTATAAAAATATCTCAATGGACCAACTTGCCCTTCAATATTAAAGTCCCTTTGCAATGACTTGGATTGACAAAATTACTCCCTAATCGCTTTACTCTTCTTGAATCGTGGATATGACATGTTGCTAAAACAACTAATTGTATAAATAGAATGTGTGATGATGTCATTCACACCCTCAAAGATTCACTTGTGTTCTTGATTTTTTAATGGAATACAACCACTACAATTTTGAAGAAAATATCAAATGACACAAAGATGAGATATGTAGTCAATTTTATTGATTTTTAGCAATTTAAATCTATGAGATTAAAGAAGGTTAAGAGCAACGTGGTCAATCCAATTTAGTCAAAAAAGGTTTTCGATATTTAAGAGTAATTTGGTAAACTTGATTTTATTTTATTAATTAAAATGATTATATAACATGAAATATGATTATAAGATTTAAAAAGAAGTTTAAAAAAAGAAATTGGGTAAATACAATATTTTTTAATTAAGAAGTGTAGATATGATGTTTAGATTTTATACTAAAGTAAATAAAATATGATATTTCAAAACTTAACAAGGACATACGAAATTATCTCTTGTAAAGAAATTATGAACTACTTTTCTACTTATATAATCTTCGATAACAATAACATTTTTTTTTAAGTTTCAAAACTTCAATTAAATTTTTTGTTAATTTCCGAAACAGCTAAATATATTTATGCATTATAATTCTATTTTAAGCATGTAAAGTAGTCAAAATCCGCTAGTCAAAAACTCGAAATTGTATACCTAGACCTAGCCACTGCAACCAACGGGTTGATGCATGATCAAGACTTCACAGATTTTAACCAAATTTGATAAAATATCCCCTAAATTTGATAAATGATCAACGAAATCTGAATTGAATCAACACAGATATCCCCTGTAACAGTGGATACATAATGACTTCAATACCAAAAGAACAAAGTAACGAAATATAATACCTCAAGGGTAATAGCAAATCTCAGATGAGCAAGAGGACTAATGAGAGGAGCAAGCACCAAAACAATTCAACTATCTCGATTTCACTGCAAATCAACATTAATGGAAATGGATCAACTCACCGATCCCTCTGTTACACTCAAACATGAAAGCTGACATCAATAAATAAATAAATAAAACCGGAAATGGAGTGAGTACCTAAAGGCTGAGAGGATTGAAGATGAAGAAGAACACGATGAAGCAGGGAGAAGAAGATGAAACACAGAAACAATTCAGGTGTGAAGACAAACTCTCGATTTCCCTGTAAATCAACATTAATTGAAATAGATAGCTCACATATCCCTCTATTACACTTAAACATGAAAGCCGACATCAATAAATGAATAAAAACCAGAAATGGAGTGAGTACCTGAAGGCTGAGTGGATTGAAGATGAAGAAGAACGTGATGAACCAGGGAGAAGACGATGAAACGCATTGATAATTCAGGTGTGAAGATATCTCTCGATCTCACTGCAAATCAACATTGATTAAAATGGATCAATTCACAGATCCCTATATTACACTCAAACGTGGAAGCTAACACCAATAAATAAACCGGAAATGGAGTAAATACCTGAAGGCTGATAGAGTGAAGACAAAGAACAACATGATCCAGGGAGAAAGAAGATGAAATGCAGAGACAAATCAGGTGTGAAGATAAACTGTTCGATTCACTGCATATCAACATCAATGGATATAAGATCCCCTCTATTACACTCATGATAGAAGCAAACACCGATAAAAAAATGGAGAGGAGTGCATACCTGAAAGATGAGTAGAGGAGTGAGACGAAGAAGGAGATGATGAAGGAGGGAGAAGAAGACGACGAAATGGAGACACGATTTTTGGGTGTGGGAGTGTGCTCTGCTGGGAATAACTGACATAGGCGGGAGAAAGGAGGGATGTAAGAACCCAAATAAAAAAAAACGATATTATATTTGTTAAAGGTCAAAATAATATAAAAAATCATATTGAATGGAATAGTGCTCGTAATTCACTTTATAATTGCAAATTGTTGTGTACCAACAAACTTTATCTCTTATGGTCTTGAACTTGTTTTGTAGCTTTAAACAATTGGTTCGTTCTTGCTTTTCTTATTTTATTTTTAAACATATAAATGCTAAAGTCCCACTTTATGGTTGTCACAACATATCATTTAAAGGATATACATTGAGTTTTTATTCGTTGTGATAGTAGTTAATTATGGTGATGGATTGTGATTTTATGTTCCACCTCAACCGCAAAGTATCTCAAAAACTTTAAGTAGCACTGCTCCTGATTCCTTAAAAACATGTATGTATTAGATCTTTTGTATTCGGATGCACATTTATGCCATACTTAATGCCGAAGATGATTGTGTTTATCTACTTTTGTTTCCATGAAAAAGAATAAACAGCAAATGATGAGTACATGCAATGCACATAATCAAATTTTCAAGTTTATTCAATCCCAAAACGGAGAGAAATATCTTCTTTACATCTCCTTTTATTATTAATACTTAGTTTTGTTCCATTATATGCTCTTAAAGGTTTGTCAAATTCTATATGTAATCGTCTTGATGCAAATTAGATATGAGATGATTGTTTTGAACCCTTTTTATTGATAGAAGATGATTAGTTGCTTACTAATAGTTCTTGCAATACAAACTAATCAATTCCCATTAAAACAATTAAAATAATTCAAAATTCATTTCAACAAATAAATCTGAAGTCTAAACGGAATTTAAAAACTTCAATTCATTTAAAATCTTAGATTCCTAAACCCAAAG